ATAACTTCGTTTGAGAATCTAACAGATTCTGAACATAAATGGTTAAATTTCAAAACTTTGAAAATTCAGGGACCAAACTGTATATTTTGAAAATTTAGGGACCAAATTGTAAATTTTGAAAACTTCAGGAACTAGGCTGCAATTTTAAAAAAATCTGTGAAAGTTGAAAATGTTGAAATAGATTCAGAATTTCGGATGATGAAAGGAACGAGCTGCATATTCTGAAAAACATTTGGACTGAATCGTAAATTTTTTTAAATCTAGGGGACTAAAATGAAATTTTTGAAAATTTTGAAGGACTAAACTGTAAATTTTTAAAAATCAGAATTTGCAGAGGTTTCGAATTTTAACAAGAAAATGAGATCCCACCTTTTATCGTTTGGTTTGAAATTTCATCTCATCTCATCTTGACTAAGTATAAAAAATCATGCACATACATCCATCCATAGATATGGATTTTGAATAAAATTTGCATCACTAAACTTTTGTGATTCAAAATCTTTAATTGAATTGGTCAATACTGTGACACCAAAATCAACACAATTTCTTTTGCTCTTCTATTGGTGTTTGATAAAGCTTATCAACATGCTTTATCATAAAATGGATATGACCAATCATTTTTCATATTTCTCATCTCTCTTCCACTTGTAATGTTGAGATAAAATTTATAGTAAATAAGCTTTAGCACCATGATAGCTTTTCATGTCAACATATCTCTTTGAATTTTTTTAATATTGTTGTTTTCACTTTCAAAGAATAACAACAATTGAACGAGTTTTGTATTAGCTCACAACTCGTATTATAGTACGATATGCTATTAAAAATCTTTATTTTGCTATTACGAGTGCAACTTGAGTTTTTATGTTGTCACTTCATGATCATAATATAGATCCATAAATTAGAGAATATTTTCTCTTACAATTCTTCATTATATGTATCTTCAAGACACATATATCAATATGAAATATTTTACTTGTCGTTTGCAAAACAACAAGTCAAGATTTAAAGAGAGCAAATTATAGAGGATCAAATATCTATCTATGTTCTTCTTCATAAGTAACTACATGTAATGTTACTTTTACTTATGTGTTCAAGACACATACCCCAAATTAAGTACTTGTTTCTTGAAAAATGAAACAATAATATTTTGCTCGGTGTCTTATAGACACATTTTCATTATGAAATATTTGGCTTGTGTCCTCAAGGCACATAACAATAACACGAATATTTTGTGATATCATGAGACATAAATGGATTTTTAACTTCAATGATCCAACGCTCATAGTTACATTTCTTCTTGAGCTATCAAAAATAATTTCGAATTGTGTGATATGTCTCATATCATTGAATTACAAAGGAATAGTCCTTTCGAGTGCATATATATATAATCTCAAAATTTGAATTTTATTGCTTAAAAGTACGTACTCAATTTGAGCCTCAAGGCTTCATATAAATCATTATATAGTACTTGTCATGAAATAATAGTACTATAATTAACTCAAATCTTCATATACATCATTGAACAACAAACTCAATAGTTCTTTCGAGTACAATATATTATTCAAATATCAAGGTTTGAGTTTTATACCTTGAATTTATGTACTCGGTTTAGGCCTCAAACCTTTATAATTGGTACGTAATCGTAAATTAATAATAGTACCTTGAGTGGGAAATACTCATTAACTCAAATATTCAATGATGATTATCATCGCTTAGACCTTGAGTCTAATGTATTCAATTGAGACTTATAGTCTTCAAATTTATTCAGGGCCTCAAGCATTTATATTTAATATTCCTCCACATAAGCTTTCAAGCTTTCATATTTAAACTAGGCTTCGAGCCTAAAATTTAGGAACTTCGAGGTCTTTTTCGATTGATCGAGCTTTTCAAGTCGCACAAATTAGAGAGCAAGTGGCTTTTGTTTTTTAATATATCATTAAAATCTTTGAGTCACTTGATTGCACGTGCTCGATTTGGGCCTCAAGCCTCAATATATAATAAAATTGTTATAGTACGTTGATCATGAACGAATAGTACTATAAATGGGGAATACCCTCTAACTCAAATGTTCAAGAGTCTTATCATTTAGACTTAAAGTCTAATATACTCAATCGAGAATTTTAATCTCGTATGTAATATAGGCTATAGGCCTATAATCGTCCCTTTTATTTTTAGAACATCATGTTCAAAATTCGCACAAGGGACAGCTCTGGCAGAACTGAGTATTTTAAGCATATCTCTCTTGATCGAGATCCGATTTCGATGATTTAAAATGTTCCGAAAATCCAACAGAAAATTTTACAAGTTTCGTATTTTGAATTTTCTGAAATTCGGACAGTATCAGGTCCAAAACAGACATCGAAGTACAGACTCGTGAATTGCACGAAAATTCACCTACAACAAAATTAAGATGATTAATATTTAATCAATTTAAAACAACAATAAAATATTTGAAATCAACTCCCTTTTCATCTTCTATGGTTGAGAAGTAATTATCTTCTTTGGATCATCTTTACTCGAAAATGGAAATAGAACATTCGTGCTGATAACGTGTTGAGAAACTAATAAAGAAGAACAAAGCAAAGATGAATTGACATAGTAATATAGAGAGAATCAAATATATTATTCTCTTCTTCTTCTTGTGTATCCAACTCAATACAATGGAACACTATATATAGTACAAGTAAGACCATGAAAGGTCATGAGTTACAAGGAGTTATGGACCTATAATGGTGAGTAAATGGTGGGAGTAATGGTGCTTGATGATGGTGAGTAATTGTGGTCATCCACACTTAAGAATTCATAACAGATATAACTACTAATTAATCTTTAATAATAAAATAAATAGTCACTACAAGAAAATGCAAAATAGGCAACGATTTTTTTATTGACGAAATTAATTTCGTTGCCAATAGTTATATTTTAGCAACGAAATATAGTATTTGTGGCTAAAGATTAACGTTTTTGTAACAAGATATTTTTGTTGCCTTTGAATCTCATAGGCAACGAAATATATTGTTGTGAATAGTATCATATATATTTTGCAACGAATTTCATGAAAGACAACAATTTTGTTTGTTGCAAAAGAGCATTTCTTTTTGCTACGATATAAAATTGTAGTAAATACATTTACAACGGCAACAAATTTATTTTGTCACCAATAAGTGACGAACGACGACAAAATCTTTTGTTGTAAATGCTCCAAGAGATTTGGCAACAAAATATATTCGTTGCAAATTTAAAAACCAACTATTTTTTCTTGATTTTAATTTACTTTATATGTTATTAAATCGATATAAATATTTTAATAAAATATTGAATTTATTAATTAATTTTAGAATTTCATCAATCTCAAATTTATTAGAATACATTAACTATATATATACATATTATATATAATAAAATATGACAAGAAAAATCTTATTTGTTTTATTGTAAATTTTATTTTTTTTGAACATAAAATAAATATAGTTTTCGTTATGACACTAATATTATTTATTTATATAATTTATTTTACATTATTTATATAACTATTTTAATTATTTTACCTTGTCTATTTAATTATTATAAATTTATTTGAAGTCTATTTACACAACTGCACTATTGGCCCAGCGGTTGGAGAGGTCTATAACTTGCAATCAACCAGGGTTCAAATCCTTCTACTATCATGTCTCTATATATTTGAAATTTATCAATTGTGGCCCGTTGGGCCATCCCTGAGTTCGACCCAGCAGTTCCGATTTCGAACAGGTCGGGGTCGGGGATGTGCGTCGGGTCGGCACACATATTGGTATATTTTGTTTTCTATTTACATATCTTTTGCAACGAAATAAATTCGTTGTGCATACATATCTTTTGCAATGAAATAAATTCGTTGCGTATACTAAATACATTGGCGACGAAATAAAATTGTATATATTTGACATTTATCAATTGTGGCCCGTTGGGCCAGCCCTGAGTTCGACCCAGCAGTTCCGATTTCGTTGTGCATACATATCTTTTGCCACATATTGGTATATTTTGTTTTCTATTTACATATATTTTGCAACGAAATAAATTCGTTGTGCATACATATCTTTTGCAATGAAAAAAATTTGTTGCGTATATTAAATACATTGGCGACGAAATAAAATTGTATATATTTGACATTTATCAATTGTGGCTCGTTAGGCCAGCCCTGAGTTCGACCCAGCAGTTCCGATATCGTTGTGCATACATATCTTTTGCAATGAAATAAATTCGTTATACTAAATACATTGGCGACGAAATAAAATTGTATATATTTGACATTTATCAATTGTGGCCCGTTGGGCCAGCCCTGAGTTCGACCCAACAGTTCCGATTTCGAATAGGTCGGGGTCGGGGATGTGAGTCGGGTCGGGGATGTGCGTCGGGTCGGCACACATATTGGTATATTTTGTTTTCTATTTATATATCTTTTGCAACGAAATAAATTCGTTGTGCATACATATCTTTTACAATGAAATAAATTCGTTGCGTATACTAAATACATTGGCGACGAAATAAAATTGTTGCATATAATAAATGTATTGGCAACGAAACAAATTCGTTCTAGATTATAAACGTATTTGCAACGATGTATTTTGGGTGACGAAATAGATTCGTTGCCGATAATAGTGTATGCACAACGATTTTTTATTTTCGTTGCCATGAACTTTCAGCAACGAGGATTTGGCAACGAACATGGCAACAAAAAAAAAATCGTTCTGAATTGTATTGGCAACGAAATTTTACCCTTTCAACAACAAAAAACGTCATTGTGAAATATAAAATTTCTTGTAGTGAGTATAACAAATAAGTAATAACCAATATTCCTGGATGTCGATTCCCATTTCAAAATTATTTTTTCAATGTTGTGCATGTTATAAAAATATGACAGTGGTCCGTGGTTGAAATTTTACCTTATCAGAAATACCAACATTGATATCTACTTGTTTTACTGAGGTACATATTATGCATGTGTATGTATTTTGTAAGTATGTGTATGAATAAATTGAATTTCAAATATTAAAATTAATACATAGATATGCATAGCTTCAACAGTTAAATTTAAACATACATATATATATTCCCTGGATAATCTACAATTGGCTTTATCCATTAAAAAAAATGCGACTTAACAATTTTGAAGATGCATAGATAATTTAATTAACTAGACAAACTTCTGTAATATAATAAGCTCGCTACATATTCGGAGTACTCCTCGTCTTGTTGTGGTTGGAAGAAACCGAAAAACCCGTCTGATTGTTGTTGCGGTTGGAAACCTTCGTCTTGTTGTCGTGGTTGGAAGAAACCGTCTTGTTGTTGTTGTGGTTGGAAACCTTTGTCTTGTTGTCGTGGTTGGAAGAAACCGTCTTGTTGTTGTTGCGGTTGGAAACCTTCATCTTGTTGTTGTTGCGGTTGGAAACCTTCGTCTTGTTGTCGTGGTTGGAAGAAACCTTCTTGTTGTTGTTGCGGTTGGAAACCTTCGTCTTGTTGTCGTGGTTGGAAGAAACCGTCTTGTTGTTGTTGCGGTTGGAAACATTCGTCTTGTTGTTGTTGCGGTTGGAAACCTTCGTCTTGTTGTCGTGGTTGGAAGAAACCGTCTTGTTGTTGCTGATAATGCATTTGTTGTGGTGGTTGCAAATCATACTGGCCGTAGTATACGTCGTCTTCCGGGAAAAAATCGTCTACTAGTGGAAAAGGATTATATTGGTGGTGGTGGTGGTGGTGCTGCTGCTGGTGCTGGTGGTGTCGTTGTTCATCCATTTCTTGTGGTGGTGGTGGTAACGCAACATGTGTGTTGTTGTCGTCCAATTCAGCCTTGTTCGACTTTGTTTCTCTCTTGTGGATTCGGCATATCACCCAACTGTCCAACTGCAAATAATTAATCGGGAATAAACCGACAATCAGTAAATAGCTTCAAATATTTAAATTAAGAGGGAAAAAAAAAATTACGACTACGCCGGAAAATAACCAAAATATAACACGTACCCTCATATCATTCTCATCTTCTGGGAGTTTTTCTGTTTTAGGAGTAGGGTCTGCAATAGGTAACTTGTACTCGTGCATAATCCAATCGGTCTTTCGTGAATATTTATGATCTCCTTCGTAATATACTAAATTCTTCTTGTAACCAATGATTTGTTCCGTCTGATCAAGGTGTATAGGCTTATCTGCTGCGGTGGCCTTCCAATAGCCATTGCCAGCCGATCGATTAGGCCTCTTTCCGTTCTGATACTTCTTCTCCCGAAACGTGAAAAAATACCATTCCTTTTGCCCGAGTCGAGAAGGATGTTCATCTGCATAAATAATAAATAATAAATAATAATGTTAATTTTACATCTGGTGAGATACAAGAATCTAAGTTAGAATAAAATTAAACCCTAAAAAAAAGAGCTGGTATATTTATTTCACGTAGCATCACATGCATGTTCAAAAAGATTATTCAACCCTAAAAGGAACATATGTTCAAATCAATTATATATAATTAAAAACAGAAAAGAAAAAGTACCAATTAATTTGAACCCTAATATTAAAAAAACAGAAATCCAGGAATAATATACTAATATTTTCATGCATGATCAGATCAATAGTTAATTCAAATCAATTAAGAATATTTGATATCGTAAAAAAGAAACATATTTTTAATTTACCTGCTAGCGTCTGAGGATCGTACTGGTAAAAATCGACGATGTTTATTTCAGAAGGAGGGACAGGCTGTTCGTCGACCTTTGGCTTCAAGTAGAAAACGATGAGTTCTTCATCCTTAGTGTTAGAATTATTTCGTGCAAATTAATTATAAATTTGTGTCCGATAAATCCCAGATTCAGTTTTAGCTACTGTTCTACTGTTTTACGAAGAGTTGCAACAGTTAATGGAACAGTAATAAAAAGACACAAATTTTAAAGTGGTTCGGATACAATTGTACCTACATCCACGGGGACCTGCAAATGAAATTCACTAATTTTTAGTTTTACGAATACAGTAATAGGACTTAATCGAAAATGCAAAGACTCCCTCTTTGTCGACGCCGTTCTTGTATCCTACGCTGAATTGTGAATCTTCACTTTGGAGCACGTCCCTTTCCGCACGGTTGAAATTCCTTCAACGCTGAGTCCCTCAGTCGGCGGATCGACCTCCTCCCGAGATCTTCTGAGTTCTCCTCCCGAAGAACCGATCTTCTTTTCGGTGAAAGAAGCAAACTCCTTTTTCTGTATTTTCTTCTCGATTTAAGATCAGGAATTCTGGAGCAGCAACGTAAGAGCAGAAAATAGTTTTCTCTCAAAATAAAAGGGACAACGTATAAAAACGTTGATGCTGCCCTTCTTATACTTCCTTAGGTGAATTAGTAGAGCCCTACAAAATTAAAGCCCATTAGGTTAGATATAATCTTCACGTAAGGAAAAAAGAGTTATGTAAACAAGGAAAGTCTTAGACAAATAAATTCCTTGTTAATAAAACACTTAGGCAATTAAATAAATTAATGACAAAATAAGAGTTTAAAGAACTAAGGAAACTTCCCTAGTTTTTATACACGTTTTTCGCACACGTGTTGAAAAACCGAAATAGAATCCTCTCGGATTCTAACAATCTCCCCCTTTGTCATCTATTTATTATAATCAAGTCCTCCCCCTTGATCAAATACCTGACAAAACATTAGACAGCATAATAGAGTAACTGTTAGAACAGTTAAAGAAAACAGCAGTTAACAAAACAAGAAAAAAGTTAAGCCTAGCAGACTATTAGAGGCCGTTGTTCAGAAAATGAATTCGACAACCACAAAAAAAACTAATCCAGAATATATTCAGCATCAACGAACAACTCCTCGTCATCATTCGTATCAACTTCAGCTGTTGTACCATCAACTGTTGGAACAGTTGGAGCAACAACAGTTGGATCAGTAGTAGTTCCAGCAGCTGCATCAGCTCCCCCTGTATGCGGTTCCTCCTGGGTTGATGCTTCGTTGTCAACTCCCCCTCAAGAATAATCTCCCCCTTTCTGAGCAAGGGCAGTAAAATAGTCGAGTTTCTTTTTCGTAAAAACGACTTCGACAATCAGAGACCCCACTAGATAGGTTGGCATAAAAATCATGAACCACTTGACAGACGCCACCGGGTTTGATGCGCTCGGAGAAAGAACCGAGAATTAAAAGCATCGACAGCAGAGATAGGCACCACGGGATCCGGTGCAGAGTGACCTGCGGTGGTGCGAGTAGCGGAAGGCGAGGCAGAGTGAGTAACGCGTCGACGAGAGCGGCGAGGTGGCGGGTTGCAGGTGAGGCCGGTTTGGGTGGTGCGATGGCGGTGCACACGGTAGTGGTGACGATTGGGCAGCCGGCGAGTGTGGCAGTGGAGGAGATGGTGGAGAATAGATGAACGGTGACGGCGGTGAGACTGGCGGCGACAGCGGTGGAGAAAACCTAGGGACCAAAATGAGTGGCAGATTGCCAAAATTCTCGACGAAGGCGGCCGTGAGGACCGTCGTTTGGACGACGAGGATGAACCACCGAATTTTTTTTTTTTTTTTTTTTTTTTTTCTTTTGCCCATGACGATGTTGTTGATTCCCTTCGACTGTGTTGAATTTTTGGGGTTTTGCTGCAAAAGAAGAAGAAGAAGCAAACAGAGCAGTAGGGAAGAAGAAAAATTGGAGAGAAAAAAATTGAATACGGGATTCTCCAAGGATGACTGTTGCTCTGCTCAGGGGTAGTTTAGCAATTAGGAATAGTCAAGTGAGAGAATTGCAAATATAATAATTATGCTCACAATAAATTCAATTAATGAAAATCAAATTCAGATACAGCAACTCTCAACTTTCGCATATGAAGCCCAACACAGTTCAAATAAACTTCGAGAAGAAAAAAATGCTCAGAACAGTGAGTTACTCCGAAGAAATATATTACCGCCAAAAATTACGAACCCACCCCGGAATTTTTTTTTTTTTTTTTTTTTTTTTTTAATAAATAAATAAATAAATGCCTAACATGCAGAGGCAAATAACTAAGACGAAAAATAAACGTGAGAAAAAAATGAGTGAATAAACACAAGTGAATAGGATACTATTAGGACTATCAAACCATGGGGTTTATCTTCAATTTTAACAAAAAGCAAGCTCCAAGAGATAGACTAAGGAGACTAACAGCAAATTTAGTATCCTCAAATCAAGCACAAAAACACTCTTATTAGGCAGCATACACACACTATCAAAGGTAGCTTATTCATGAAGAGCAGAGCAATTAAAATAGCGAGATAGTTATGATCGTGCAATGTGTAGTCCCCTGGGCTTTCTAATTGAGTCGTGTAGTGAGTGTTCGGTCATGTGGTTTACCGGCTCGACTCAAAAAGGCTTCGAACTATTCACTGACCGCATATAAAATTTATAATGGTCGTGCAATGTGTAGTCCCTTGGGCTTTCTAATTGAGCCTTGTAGCGAGCTTTCGGCCACGTGATTTACTGACTCAACTCAAAAAGGCTTCGAACTATTCACAGACCAATTGATTGACATTTTATATATAGAATTAACGAAAATTCAAGAGTAGCTTTCACTCATTTGGAGCGGCAGCTTTACCTTATGAGTGTGTTCAACCATGACAAGACTGTGAAGGGTAGTAAATAAGCTAAAACCTCTGTAGCTATCATTTGGGGAATGATGAAGTTCTACCTCACAAGATTCGAAAGTACAGATAGTATCCAATACACAAGGGGTCTCATCACATGCAATATGTCTAATGCATAACCTAGATGAACAAAATGCAGTATGCGTGATGTGTCCATAAAACTTTAAAAGTTGCAAGTCTGGACACAGACTGTTGCAACAGTTTATGCAACTGCACAGGTCAGACAATACAAATTCCAAGCGAATTTCGCAAGGAATCAAACCTTTGTGCATCTAGGGGTTTAGTAAAGATGTCAGCAAGTTGTTTCTCCATTGTGACATACTCTAATGAGACAGTTCCTTCCTCTACAAGATTTCTAATGAAATGGTAGCGAATTTCAATATGCTTAGTTCGAGAGTGCTGTACTGGATTCTTGCAAATATTAATCGCACTCATATTGTCACAATAAATATGCAATAAATCTTGACTAATACCATAATCACATACCATTTGTTTCATCCATAAGAGTTGGGCACAACAACTACCAGCGGCGATATATTCCGATTCAGCAGTGGAAAGCGAGATACTATTCTGTTTTTTGCTGTACCAGGACACGAGATTGTTCCCAAGATAGAAACATCCTCCAGTTGTGCTTTTTCGATCGTCTGCATCACCTGCCCAATCAGCATCGCTAAAGCCTCGGGTTTGAATTCCTTCTTCTACCGGGCCAATGACTTGATCCACTGGATGATTCTTTTTTACTCTTCTTGAGGGTTCCTTGTGAGTTTGATCATCCAATTCGAGAGGCCTGACTTCTGCTTCGTCTCCTGTTTCAGAATTGACGTCACTTTCTTCTGAATTGGTAGAGGCTGCATCAACTGTTGGAACTGTTGGTGCGACACTGGAGCTGTTTTCCGATTCCTTTGTTGGTTCCTCTTCCAGTGGTCCTTTCCAAATTTCGTACGGAGTTTTAGTGGTACCTGGTCGAAGATAGACTCGATTTATAATATGACATGCAGTGTTAACTGCTTCTGCCCAAAAACGATGAGCGATCTCCTTTGCGTTCATCATGACCCTGACCATCTCTTGCAGAGTGCGATTTTTGCGTTCAACCACTCCATTTTGTTGAGGTGTTTTAGGTGCGGAGAATTCATGAGATATTCTTTTGTGCCAAAGCACTGTAGAGTCTGACAGACTGTTGAAACAGTTCATACCAGCAGAGACAAGAATATAGCAGTTGTCAGATGATCGAGTTCCTTGAATAACACAATTCTCGTCTTTGTCTAATACTCGACATGCGAATTTGTTGAATCTGACTTCAAGATCTTGATCACATAGCTGGCTGATGCTTATCAGATTTGACGTGAGTCCTTCTACAAGTAGTACATTCTTCAGCTTTGGCAGATTCTCATGATTTAGCGATCCTTTCCCTAGCACTTCACCCTTTTTTCCGTTTCCAAAGGTAACAGCTCCACCGGTGATTTGTTGGTAGTTTTTCAGAAACTCTTTAACACCGGTCATATGTCGTGAACACCCACTGTCAAAATACCAATCATTAGTAGTACTTGCTTTTAAAGAAGTAATCGCAGATAAGCATTTAAACGTGGACTTTTCAACCCAAATTTTTTGCTGAGGTCTATTGGAAATATCAATTTTATTTTTGGGTTTTTGAGAGGGTGAAGGAAAATAATCAGCCCTAGCAGAGTAAAGAGAACGAGCCACAAGCTTTTTCACAAGTTTTAAATATTTGAAACATCTAGGACGTATGTGACCTGGATTTTGACAGAAAAAACAAGTGGGAATAAACCTTTTCTTTGAATTGTGTTTCGTTGCTTCAACAGTTGCAACTGTTTGTGAGACAGAAGCTTGTTTAACAAAGTTGATTTTTCTGTTTTGATCTTCCTTTCGCTTTAGATCAACTTTGGGTAGCTGACTCCCTCCTATGGCTAGACGATTATAGTTTGGCTTGTTGTTGCTTAAGATTTCATCTAGATTACCTCTACCCAAGTTTAATTTTGCAATTGCTTCTTGAGTTTGAGTAAGTTTAGCCTGCAAACTATTTTTCTCTTGATCACTAGATATGACCCTTTCCTCAAGAGTAGAGATTCTTACCTTTAGTGTCTTGTTTTCCTCTACAAGCACAAACTTCTCCTTTTCCAGGAAGTTATTTACCTTAACGACGTCGAGCCATTTTTGGTACATTTTTTCATATACCTCCTTTACTTCATCCAAGGTTGGTTCTTCCTCATCACTGCTGCTGTTCGGATCCTCTGCAAAAGAAGAATTTTCGTTTAGATTTTTTTTATAATCAGAACACATATTTTCATACCTGGATTCTGTTTCACAGTCTGTTGCAACAGTTGAAGCAACAGTTGATTCTGAGCTGTCCAGAGGAACTTTGCTGCTGAATGCTACAAAGTTAGTGACTTGATTGTTGTTTCCTTGGTCATCATCAGATTCTTCTTCATCGCTCCAACCAGTAGTAAGTGACATTTTCTTCTTTTTCTTCAGGGTGTTTGCGCATTCTGATTGAATGTGACCAAAGCCTTCGCATTCTCGACATTGTATTCTTCTTGGTTTTGACTCCTCCGAGTTATCTTGATTTGAATTTCTCCTAGAATTTTGAAAATTCACGGGTTTCCCTGTGCTTGAAAGATTTCCCCTTTTTTCGATCTTTTTGAGAAATTTCCCAAAATTTTTCGATAGTAGTGCCAAGGATTCTTCAACTGTTTGCTCATCTTCTTGAGTTGACGAATTTTGGGGCGTTGCATATGATGTTTCTGCTTGAAAGGCTATCTTCTTTTCTCTAGACTTTTCACGATGATTTTCACCATGATTGAGTTCTTGTGCTAGAAGTTTCCCCATGAGTTCGTCTAGTTTGAGCGTGTCAACGTCTCTGACTTCTTCAATGGCAGCAATTCGGTAAGCGAATCTTTCAGGTAATGAGCGCATAGCTTTTCTCACTAATTTGCTTTCTGAGTATGGTTCACCGAGTGCGTATGATTCATTTGAGATATCACATAATTTAGCATGGAAGTCAGTGATCGTCTCATTCTCCTCCATCTTCAAATTTTCGAATTTGGTGGCCAACATCTGTAACTTGGATGTCCTTACAGTTGACGTTCCTTCGTATGTGACTTGAAGAATTTCCCAAGCTCTCTTTGCAGATTCACATGACGCTATTAGTTTAAATTGATTATCATCAACACCACTAAATATTGCGTTTAGGGCCCTCGAGTTGTAGTTTGCGAGTAGTATTTCTCCATCACTCCAATCTGCTTCTGGTTTGAATACTTCCTCTTTGTCTTCTCCTTTGATCATGGGAGGTGTCCAACCAGTTATGATGGCGCGCCATGCTCTCAAATCTATGGATTTGATAAACATCTTCATTTTTTATTTCCAGTATGAGTAGTTGGAGCCGATTAGAAGAGGTGGACGAGTAGTTGAAGATCCTTCTCGTTGAGTATTCATATCTGCACAAAATAAGAGTAATCAGTTCCCAAAATCTCACTAGATATATTTAGTGACAGGCTCTTGATGCCAATTGTTAGAATTATTTCGTGCAAATTAATTATAAATTTGTGTCCGATAAATCCCAGATTCAGTTTTAGCTACTGTTCTACTGTTTTACGAAGAGTTGCAACAGTTAATGGAACAGTAATAAAAAGACACAAATTTTAAAGTGGTTCGGATACAATTGTACCCTACATCCACGGGGACCTGCAAATGAAATTCACTAATTTTTAGTTTTACGAATACAGTAATAGGACTTAATCGAAAATGCAAAGACTCCCTCTTTGTCGACGCCGTTCTTGTATCCTACGCTGAATTGTGAATCTTCACTTTGGAGCACGTCCCTTTCCGCACGGTTGAAATTCCTTCAACGCTGAGTCCCTCAGTCGGCGGATCGACCTCCTCCCGAGATCTTCTGAGTTCTCCTCCCGAAGAACCGATCTTCTTTTCGGTGAAAGAAGCAAACTCCTTTTTCTGTATTTTCTTCTCGATTTAAGATCAGGAATTCTGGAGCAGCAACGTAAGAGCAGAAAATAGTTTTCTCTCAAAATAAAAGGGACAACGTATAAAAACGTTGATGCTGCCCTTCTTATACTTCCTTAGGTGAATTAGTAGAGCCCTACAAAATTAGAGCCCATTAGGTTAGATATAATCTTCACGTAAGGAAAAAAGAGTTATGTAAACAAGGAAAGTCTTAGACAAATAAATTCCTTGTTAATAAAACACTTAGGCAATTAAATAAATTAATGACAAAATAAGAGTTTAAAGAACTAAGGAAACTTCCCTAGTTTTTATACACGTTTTTCGCACACGTGTTGAAAAACCGAAATAGAATCCTCTCGGATTCTAACACTTAGGCTTGAAACGAATACCTGGTGGAAACTCCATCACTTTTCTTTGAATTTCTGATATATTTTTTTTTTGGAGGGAGTAACATATACATACATATATATACATATACAATGTCATTACAATATAATTCTTATGAGAGTAAAAAACATAGCGTACTTGTTCAGCGTTAATAGAGTCCTAAGTTCTTGAAACACACCTGAAGTTTATCTTGAATTTTGATTACATAGTTTGGTTAATGATTTATTATTTGTGTGGAAAATAAATTATACTTATCCAATTCTAATTATGAGTGAATATAGATATTTTAAAATCACAATAATTAAATTTTTAATGGCTTTCAAATTAAGAAAATCAATTCTCTAAAATCATGAAATTGATCGAAACATCAAACACTATGAAATTGATCAAACAGACATGCAAAATGAGTTCACCAAAAAAACAATAATAATAACAATAATATTAATAATAAAAGAAAAAAATAAACAATTAATAATGTGAAACTAATAGAATCTCAATTCATTATCTGTAACATAGACAAAACCAACTATAAACAAAAACCAAAACTATTGATTACATCGATACTGTTGGTGACAATTGCTCCGGATTGAAAATGTGCTCCGGATCGAAAATGTCGTCGCTTTTCATGGATTTCAATTTTTTCGGAGTCGGCGTCGAAGAATCCTCGTTGAATTTCATTTTTTTCGGTTTCTTCGTCGAAGGATCCTGAGGAAGTTTCTTATAAATCCGACACAAAACACAATCATCCAACTACAAATAAATAAATTAAAACACATCAATTATTTGATTAATATCTTTTCAATTGAAAAAAAATAGCTCAATAGCAAATAAGTAAATTAGAACAAATTGTTATGAATCCTAGAAGGTGTGTGAAAGAATTTATGGTCCCGAGTTCGTTTAATACAGAGATGTTGTCTTAAGTGTTATGACACTTAAACAAACATGCAGCGGAAATATAACTATATAAAGACAATACTCAGATATTTAAATGTTCACAAGTAAGAACTTGTGAACTTGCTCTTTACAGGACGGAAAAATTATATTAAACAAACAGTATTCCAAGAATACAAATGGAAGATGTACGAAAACTTCTTCCTTATGAATGAATCATTCTCATGATCATTCTTACATTCAAATCTAGAAACAAAAAGAGAAATATTAAAAATTCTAGATTTCAAATAATGTACTCATAAGGAGTACGTACAATAGATCCTAGAAACACACTAAAACTCTCGTAAATAAACTTCAGCACTCGGTTTCTTTTGTTTCTTCGAATCTACATTTCTTGAGTCTTGAGTTTGGTATTTATAGACTTTCCAAGCTTCCACTACTCAGCCCATGATCTGCAAGAAAACCAACCACAAGAGCACTCAAGATAATGGGTTAGTAGGTTAGTTATTAAGTTAAAAAGATATCCATAATTAAACCCACTAAGCACTACTTAGCCCACTAAGTCATAGCACTTAGTCCACTAATTCATAACTAAAATTTAGTTTGAAAGTAAGAAAGTTCAAAACACTTATGTGGAAAAATCCACGTGTGTCAAACTCCCCCTTTTTGACTTTCTGATCAAAACTAAATTTTAGCTAAAACTCCCCCTGAGACATTGCTTGAACTCCCCCCGAATTTGATAATAAACAAAATATAGAAAGAATCAATTCAAAACAAATTCAGCAAAATAGTTCAACACAATTTAAACAAAAAGAAAAACAACCAAAGTGCAATCCTAAAAGTTCAGAGGGAAAATAAAGTCAGAACAAAATCAAACAAAATCAACTATTGTTCATAACAATAATTAAAGTAGAATATCTAAAGTCTCCTCAGTATCAGCTGCTGCTCCTCCATCATCAGCACTCGATCCACTGCTTTCCTCTGCTCCTTGAGTTTCACCTTCATTCTTTGCTCCTTGCTCTCTGCCTCTGGCATCCAAAGGATGAGAAGTCCCTGCTTCAGCTTCATGATTAGATTTTTCTCCCCCTTTTTGATCAGAAAGAGCTTTGCGAAGCATTTCCACCATGGACTGGTGATAAGTGATCTGAGCTAGAGAGTGAGTAAGCTGTTGTAACAAGAGATCTCTAGGTACAAAAACAAGAATGTCAGGGATGTTGTCAACATGAGGAGCAACACATTCAGTACCAAGAGAAAATTATCTCCATTCCAGGGAAGATCTTGGACATGAGGAGCTTTTAGAAAATTTTGAGAAACAGTGATCATGCCAAGTGGAGTGTGAAGATATTCTGATTCATCTTGATCCAAATTTTGAGAAAGTAGAATTGAGTAGATGAGAGAATGATAAGGAAGATGAGTGGAGGATGAAATTTTCTGGGCAAGCTGACCTATATTATTAAAGAAAAGCTTTCCAAAATCAACTGGTAATCCCATCCCCAATTTGTACAGGAGTACTGCATGAGGTTTAGTGACCACAGAGACATTCTTGGATGGAATCCAATTCATCACTGTGAGTCTGAACATGACAGAATAAAATGCAGTGAGTTGAGAAACTTTGAATTTTCTGGGGTGAGCAGGCCAAGATTTTAGACAATTTCCAGAAAAAGTCTTACAGACCTCAGTAAAATCACCATAATTATCCTCATCAATCACAGTAGGAGTTTGTAAATGAGAGTTGATAATTTTGGGAGAAAATGAGAAAATGGAATTTCGTACAAAAACTTTGCCAAAGTTTGGAGAATTTTTCTTTAAAAATGAGGTTTGCAGATTGGCATAAAATTCCTTAACAACAGAGGGATCATAAGGACAGGCAACCTCAACTAGACTAAGGATTTTTCTTTGATCAAGAAAAGCAGTGATCCTATGTCTATCAAACTCATCCTTGGAAATCTTCTTTTCCTCAATGAATTGGCAATTCATGATTCTCACATTTGAATCAGATTCAAAATAAAAAGTAGGACTGAAGGCATTGTTTACCTCAAAAGGAGTTGACAGATCCTTTCCATCCAAGTCTGGCTCTTGTTCCTCAGAGGATTCCTCTTCTTCAGTGTCTTCAAGTTCATCTGGGATGAATGCTGGCTCAGGTGATGCAACACATGGGGCAGCATCTTCCTGCAACTGAGAGGAGTCCTCAGATGAGTCACTGTCTGACTCTGAGGATGGCAATTTTTTGCGAAAAGTGGCAAGGGGAACTTCCCAGTTGTCATCACTTTTCTCTGGTTCATCAACCTGAGAAGGTGCTGCATCTGCTTGAACAGCTGCTTCTGCAAGAGTTTCCAGAGGATCTGCATGTGGTGCTGAGAGTGTTTCTTCAGTGGTAGTGAAATCCTGAGCATCAACAGAGGGAATGTCAACATGCTCGGCAGAGGACATCCCTGAAAAATCAGGCATTTCTTCATCCTGGTAGGGAGCAACATCCTCAGCAGCACTCTGAGAAACATTGGCTGAGTCAGTGGGTGCAGTTAGACCTGACCACCGGTTCGGTTAGAACCGGAACCGGAACCGGAACCGAACCGGGGTCAACGGTTTTAGAACCGAACCGGAACCGGTTTGACCGGAACCGGAACCTGAACCGAAAAAACCGGTTCGGTTCCGGTTCCTCATTTTTGGAACCGGGAACCGACGGTTAGAACCGCGGTTCTAACCATTTGAACCGGTTTTAAAAAAAAAAAAAAAAAGAATATTAATTCTCTCTCTCTCTCTCTCTATATATATATATATATATATATATATATGTATATATATATATATACACATAGACAGACAGACATATATATATATATATATATATATATATATATATATATATATATATATATATATATATATATATATATATATATATATATATATATATATATATATATATATATATATATATATATATATATATATATATATATATATATATATATATATATATATATATATATATATATATATATACGATATATAAATATATATATATACTTCTCTGTATTTCTATTTAGGGGGTAAGACAGGGAAGCATTGGCTTAGGGCCCCACCCCACAAGGGGGCCCCATAATATTTTTCATAAACCACTATATGACCCTGATAATTAGTTATATAGCACATTTTAGTCCTTAAATATTTTATTAGATGTTGTTTTAAACTATATGCTAATGGATATTTTAGGGGGTGTTTCGTA